TAAAATAAAAAAAATTGATTCTAAATAATGAATTTTTTCATAATTGCTATTGTATTATATACATTTATATAGGCACTTTCTACAAGTAATTGGAGATCTTTAAAATGCAATGAAAATTAAATTTTTAACAACTTTTTTAGTATTACAATTCGTTTCTATATACGTGCTAAAAATATGTCTTTTTTTATAAATCAACAAAGAAAGTTGAATAACTAATTGATAAATAGAATATACTTATACATGTAGCTATAAGCACACATAGTTTTATTTTTTGAAATGGTTATGATAAAATTCTCATATCTTAACAATAAAAAATTGTGTATCATGATTAATATAAAGTGCAATTAGTAATCTAAACAGCATTTGTTTTGTTCTTCATTCATTATACATTTATTGCTCTAAATAGATTTGTAAATTGATAGATTAATTGCACAGAGTGTAATACTTATTTCGAAAATTACTTTAATGTATTTCAATAACATTACAACTTTTAATTGTGATAAAGAAAATGAAATCTCACAATGTAATAATAAATTCTCATGCAGTAAAATTTTCATGGAAAAATAAGAAATATCCAGCAAGCAAAGTTCACAATATTAAAACTAATTTTCTCAAATTAATATTGTACATATAAATCAAAATCTATATAAAAATGCACTGCTAAAATTTAAAGAGAAATAATTGGTAATTGAATTACTTATAATGCTCATTTAATGATAAGCTTCAATAATTTGTAATCTAACCCTGTAATCTATCCCTCATCATTTATATATCTGTAAATAAAATTTTTTAATAGATAGCCACCATGATCTGCTACTTATTGCTATTAGATTATTACACCATGATTTTGTTTTGCTCAAATAATACTGATTTAAAATTAATATCAAGCTAATGTAATCTCAAATGTCGGTATTTAAAATGAAATTTTCTAGTATAATACACATTTGGTAGTATCAGACGCATAAAATTTGCTGTTTTAGAGAAGTATTTAACTTCAGTTTAACTTATCAATTTTTTAAATTTATTAATTATGTATATCTTGTTCATGGTTTTTAAGGCACCCGATATACGTGACAAAACTTAACACATGAATATGCAACTTATTGCTCAAAAGAGATTGCCTTATCATTGCAACTTAAAAATCATGAACGAGCGCGAGTTTTTTTTTAATTTCTGACTTAACATTCCTTTTTTCCTAGTAAATGCAAATATGATTGTTATATAAAAAGAAATATTATATAAAACGTTTCTAAAAGTAAAGAAACAATATCTGGATTTTACAATCGATTTAATCTATGAAGTGTAAAAAATAAATAGCAGTGCTTAATTAATAACAAGATACACAATAACACAAATAAAATAACTCATAGCAATTAATATTGCCAACTATAAAAGTTCACTAATATTCCATACAAATAAAACTAGAAGCATTAAGGTAAAATGTTTATATAATATTTTTTTCAAAAACAATAAATATTTTTCTCAAAAATTGACTAGTATTTGACGTATCTTTGATCTAATTTGATAATTAGAATATTTCTGTACGTTTATGCAAATATATGAATGTTGAACAGTGACCTATTTTTCTCTGTGATTTATTTGGCAATAATTAATAACTTACTTCGATCTTACGGAGTTGTCGATGTTAAAAATGTTGGATCAACTGCAGCAACTTTTGCAGTTAAAAATGCATGCATACAGAACAATAAATTCTGCAATTGAGAGCATTCCAATTCCTGCAAAAAAAAAAGAACATAAAAGAAATAAAATTTACATATATTGTTTTTATTTATAACAAATAAATACCTTCGTCTCAATAGCAATACTATCCGATTCTTGAAAGTGTAATTTCAGTCTACTTTTTCCATCGTCGCTAGATCCTCTTAATTGCGAAAACTTATAACGCCATACAGTTTCTCCAATATCTTCATAAGAAAGTGTAAAACCTTGAGTCCATTCTAAAGTTAGTCCTGCACTTCTTCCATTAAAAGTAACAGGAAATGTTTTACTCTGTAAGAGAGTGTTCATGATAGTAAAATATTTCATAAATAATTTCTGATGTAATGAACAAATATTTATTACTAACTTTTAAATGTGTAACAGCTGAACACACTGCAGTATGCCATGCTGCTTCAACTCTTAACAGTTCTTGTCTAGTTTCAACGCTTAAATATCGTGGAGGTTTACCCGGACTTTGTGCTAAAAAGCAGTGCTGTCTTTCATCTACATTTTCAGACTCTCGCATTACACGAAACATTGTTTGATATACTTTAAAAGTCAATGCACATCGTGACCAATCTCCTATGTTGCACTGTAAACAAATCATAGTATTTAATCATATATTATACATTGTTTATATGTCAACTATTAATATTTACAGGGGGTGTTTCAAATAATAACAAATCAGGTCCTTTTAGTGCTAGAAACCTTGGTCTATAACTCTGCCATGGCTGATTACTATTGCTTACTGCTTCGTTGACCCAGCCCATATATTCTATACGTTCACCGACTCCGAAATTGCGATTATATAATTTCATCTAGAAAATAATTATGCATATCACGAAAGATTATATAAATATGATAAATAAATTTACTTGGAATATTGTTTCTTACCTGTAAATGCGTTAAACCTGTAATGTTATCAGTAATATATTTTAACCATTGACTTAGAATGGCACTATCATCACAGTGTATTACACCAGTACGTGCACCATTTAATCCTCTTACTTCAAACGCATTTCTTCTTAATTTATCTGTTCCAAAGATATATCTTGTAACATAAGCCATCATCAATGGAACTGGAATTACATAAGATTTTCAGTTTTCTTAAACAATTAAAGAAGAAAGATAATAAAAGAAATTATTTAAACCTGTTATAACATCTATCCATTTTTTATATTGCATTGATGTAGCAGATGCATTTGAACTTTGTCTACTATGACCACATCTAGGACTACCACTTTGTCTGTTAGGTGATAACCACTCATCTTCTGAACTCCCATTTGCAACATTATCTAATTTCTCTTCTTTTTCTAAAAATCATATTAATGTTCTAAACGAAATTTAAAAGAAAATATTTTATACTATAAAATTCAATAAATCAAATTTACCATTTTTCTGTAGAAATGGCTTTGCTGCGCGATAATGTTTTACTGTTAAAACTACAATGTCACCTGCATTTCTTAAAATATTGACAGCATCATCATGATTACATGCAGTTATATATTCTCCATTTACTATAAAAAAATAAAATTATTGTTCTAAATTCTAACAACAATTATTAATAAAAATTTAAATGCAGGTTTCACTTTAATAGGTGAATGATATTAATAGGCTAATATGAAAACATGATTTCAAAGAAAGAAACCAATATTGACAGGTTTGACACAAATAGAATGAGCATTCAGAACTATTTATACACACAAAAGCAATTCTCATTTATGAAAGATCTTTTCATAAAGGAATATCAAAGTTCGTATTATTCAAATATTCATTTAAGGAAATCTTATTTAAAAATTCAGATAAGAAAAGATTTAAAAATTAAAAATTTTCGAATAATTGATATTTTTATGATTACCGAATTTACCTTTAATTATTGCATCTCCTACAAATAATTGGCCGCATTCATCAGCTGCTTGACCTTTATAAATTCTAGATATAAGTACAGGAAGTTTATGCTCTGCTCCTCCCTTTATGCTTAATCCTAATCCTCCAACTTTTTGTCTAGTTATTTGCACCATTCTCTCTTTAGCATCTAACGGTGGTTTATTGTGATTCGCTGCCTGCTGAAAATCAGTATCGTTTTTTTATAAACTATATAAGTAAGATGGTAATGATATAAGACATTGATATTAAACTTTACCTCTAAATCTTCTCTTTGGAGCTTTAAAACTTCCATAGACAGATGTAAACGCATTGGAACTGGTTTACTTTTTCCATCACTAACACTTACCATTCCACTCCTCACCTTTTTGAAGAAAATTAAGATTAAAATTGGGATTAAAATTTTACTTCATTCTTAAATTACTTTATTAATTTTAAATTAATTTATCTTCAACTATACGTATACACACATACATATATGTGTGTCAAAAAAATTGTATATTAAATTATGTATATATAGCAATTGTGTATATATTAAATATATCAAATTAAATTACATTAAACCATATAAACATATAAAAGTCAATTATAAAAAGTTGTATATATTATAAAAATAGCAGAATATCAAAGTCCATCATTGATAAATTTAAAAAATAAAGTACAATCTTTATTTGAATTACAAATACTTCTGTATATTGATTAATTAACTGTATTACTACATTGCTCTGTATATATGTATTTAATTGAGGATATATTCTCAAATAATTCGTTTCTCCATTTACAATTTTTTATTTTCTAATCTTTTTGACATGCCTTGATATTTAGATAATTATACAATTGAAATAAAAAAAGAATGTAAACGTTTTATTTCTTTAATATCATACTATCCTTCTAATATAATAAATAACTTTCAAACTTAATATACAATTTTCCGTGTCTCATTATGTTTATTTCATCATTTTAAGATAATGTTAATCTGAAAATCGACAATAAAAATTTGTCTAGAAAATAAGTATACTGCACACTACACATGTTTGGATTTCAATAAAATAACAAGTAAACAGCAAAGAATGTTTAAAAGTATTGCTCACCTTCAATTTCTGATCAATCTTCTCCTCGATCGGAGTACTCATTTTTGTTGCGTTGATTCTCATTATTTAATATAATTATGCAACTGATACACACAAGTCCCCGTATTGCAAAACGCAAATTTCCGGGGTTAACGAAATTTTATGAATCGTTAATATTATAAGTAACATGTTAGCCTCGGACGAATCGTTCGACGCAACTACAGCAAGTACTCGAACAATGAAAAACCAATATCATATTCTTATTATTCTTATTGGAAAAGTACACCAAAGTACTCGCGAATGATATGTAATCAAGGACACGCGATATTTCAAAACGAGGCAAATTCATCGAGAATCGTGATTCTTCAGATCATACCATCGTAACGTTTTAAAATGTTTGGCGTGAAGTAAAAATCCCGTAAACCGGGACGCAGAAAAATTGGAGTGGGCTAAAAGTAGCTAAAAGCCCGCGGCTGAAGCGCATCGATTTATATAGCGCGACGCGCATCGATGATACCTCGTTTGTTTCAAATCGCGGGAAATACGAAAAATAAAATAATATTCAATGTACAGACAAATGTTACAAATACTATTACAAATTCTATTACAAATAATATAAAATATAAACAAATATTACGTTTTCCGATTATTTTGCATTATCGAAGTTTATTATTTCATTTTTCAATTGTATCGCAATTGCGCAATATTTACTGTACAATACAATATTATTATACAATATTATACAATACATATTATCGTACAATACAATTCATAAAATATTTGTATAATACAATTCATTGAATTTCACTTTTTTCAGGAGTTCGAAATAAATGTACATTACATACAGCATAATTGATAACAATGAAAAATGATCGATAATTTAATACTTATTATTAAATTCGTAACAAAAGTTATACATCCAATTAATCTCTGATTTTAAAACATAAAGCCTTTACTTTAACAATTCTGAATTCATTTTTTCAAACAATATTTTAACATCATACAGAATGGGAAGATGAAGATACTTATCTTCAAATTATAAAAACTCAAACATTTATAAAAACATTGAAAAATTTTGTTTTAACTATCTAATGATTTTGGAGATATAAATGATTTTGGAGATTGAAGTCTTCGCTTTACAATAATCCCTTAAAACTTGCTTGTTTCTACTTTACTTTATTAAACTTTGAATATTAGGATTAACTGAGATTAGGATTTCTTAAATATTTGTCAATTAACTCTAATGTTCATAATTCAATAAAATATTGAAAGAAAATCGTACAGCAAATTTTAAGGAAATGTTATAAAGATCTCAATCTTCAAGACCATGGTAGATCTGGAAAAAATTTTTTTAATGTTTTTACAGATGTTTGAATTTTTATAATTTTTGAAGAAAACGTATCCTTATTCTCTTGCCCGCTTCGCAATATAAAATTATTTTTGAAAAAAAATAAATTCAGGTTTGTCAAAGTAGAGGCCTTACGCTTTAAAATGAAACTAAGTGAAATATTATAGAATTTTTACAAAGTTGTAACAGATTTAAATTATCGACAACTTTTAATTTTTATTAGTTCAATTATTCTCTTCATTGTATAACATAGCATAATAATACACAATTATTATATCGAAAAGTACTTGAAGGAAATACAGAATACAGATTTCTTTGCTATTTGTCGTACAATTGATATTTTGTTTATAAATGCATTATTAAACAAAAACATGATTTTATTAACAATGAATAAAAAAATAAATCTACTTTAAATACAACTTTTTTATAAATTATATTTTTTTATAAGTAATTTTATATAATTAAGTTTATTAATTATAATTTACATTCATTTGTTTAAATAAAAAAACATGATTTCATAACATTATTATAATACCAAAATTTTTATTTCCTTTACATGATTTTCATATTTTACTATAAGAAAAAATGTGCGATAAATAGGTTTAATCAAAAAATGTCATTGGTAAAATTATACATCAAATAATGTAGAGATATCTTTCTTAGAGATAAATTTAAATACTTTTAACATAAGTTATTGTGAAAACATGATTGTTTTTAGAAAATCATAAGATGCATTTATAACTCCCCAACTTATAAATGATCTCATACAGTTTAAATGCGCACCCTTATAAAATGACATTACACTTCTGTTTCTTTCAACATATATTTCACGAGTAATTGTCATAAATTTCTCAAAATTACCACCTATTTTTGACTGCATATGAATTTTTATTACATTCATCGGATAAAATATAGTACTTGTGAGACCACCTATTAAAGCACCATTAATAAAACTTGTAAATAATGATTCTTGTTCACCTACGTATTGTTTCGATTGTTCTTTGAGAATAAAAAACATAAGATTGGAACAACTATTTCTATATATAATTGGAACTAATCCACGATAACATTCCGATATACCATAATTTTTTAGTAAATATTTAAATGCATGCGAAGTATTTTTTAACTTATTATGATATCGCCAATCTTGCAACAATGTTTGTACTCTTTCAAGCGGCATAAGTATAGCCTCAACAGTACCAGCAAAATGCGCTGCTATTATTCTAGTTAATATATCATTATTTGTTAATGTGCACAAACGTTCCTTGCAACCTTCGTACATACTAAACATTACACTAACCGAAAGAGTTTTTTGGCAAAGAGGTGGTAAAATTCCACGATATATTAATCTTATCCCTTCTCTGGATATCTGTTGAAATGCAATGTTGGCTGGAACATCTTCCAAAATCTGCCAGTATGATAGAAATTTATTTTAGTTTAATACATATAAACATGAAATTTTGGTATACATATATACATGTGGTACTTAAAGCATTAGTAAATAATTTATTTGACACGTACCTGTCTAAATACTATTTTGTTAATTGGAAAGGTAATAGATACATTAATTACTGCAGCTCCCCAGCCACAAACAAACTCTTTAAAATCATTATTATTAAGTGTTAATAATGATTTTAACGAGACATTTTGTGAAGTCATATTAATACTTTATCTATTAGTTTGTACAAATAATTTAGAGCAGCCAATCATAATTATATCTTTTATATCATTTACTTCTTACATTATTCAAATTAAATAAATCATTTACCTGCAAAATTAATAAATAAATTATATATTTTCAATATATACAATATTTCATTATTATTCATATTATGTAACTTTTATATACTGTGTTTATTGTAGACGGTAAATATATGATTTTATAAATATGTAACTTGCATTTTGCGCGATTCATGATTCAACCCATATCTCACGTCGTATCTTAAATCTGGCATAAATATGCTTTTTGGCTCATCAAATTTCTAATCAACATTTCTTTCTGAGTATTCTGAACAGTACTGATTATTCAAATGTCGGTTTGTGTTATTAAGATTTCAAAAATCTATTTTACTCTTTTCTTTTTTTTCGTAAAACCAGATAAGGACCAATTATTAAAGTATGCGTGAACCAATCAAAATGTACAAACTGTCAAACTTCAAATATTTCTTGGCATTACCATTAACTAAGAATTAGAAATTGATTAGATATCTAATGTTTTTTCTTGTATTTACCTTTTGAAAGTCATTTGCATGTTGCATCATTGACTAAAGATAGAATAGATCAGATACGAAATGGGACTTCGTGTCTCAGAGTCTGAAATACTAACCAGAAAAAAATCACTGATTTAGTTAGTCAATGGTACCATATACCTCATCTGTGATTCAAGCAATGGTTTAAGCACAATTTGATATACCTCATCTGTGCTTAAGCGTAGAGTGCGCTGAAAAACCAATGATTTTTTTTTCCTAGTCGGTATTTTAGACTCTGAGACACGAAGTCTCATTTCATGTCTGGTCTATCTATCTTTAGTCAATGAAGGTTAGTTACAAAAAATGAAGATATACCTTATCTATGATGATACTTTAAACATAGGTTTTAATTAGAAATAAATTTTTCCGCGAAATTATAAATAAAACTTTAACGATTTAATAATATGTAGATTTGATCCATCGTAATTTTGTAAGTATAGTATGAATAATGAAATTCATCAAAAAATATCATAGATTGCTTATAAGAAATATATTTTTTCTAATTTTTTAACATAAACACCGAACAAAGTCATTTTTTCACTTATATTTCAAAATAATTAATAGATTCTCAAAAAACACTTCTATTATATATTATACATTACAGATGTGTCATTGTTTCATGTCGTTCAGTTTTTTAGAAATATATTTATAAAAGTGAATTCTTACTAATGTATTCCAATTCACGATGAAAACGTAGCAAAATGTTACAATAATAAAAATAAAATATTTAAAAAAACATGAATCATATAATATATCTGTTTAAATATTTCTAATTAATACTAATTAAAACATGTAAATAAAATTATTTAATATGATTATTATTATTATTAACCAGTTGCAGTATTTCATTAAACATATATATATGTATATATACTTGTCGTGTCCGCATGCATATAAGATGCATTTCTTGACTTGTGAACCAATTGTACATACTTTACTTCAATTTTTCGTAGTGGTAGTGATATAAAATTACCTTGTCCTAATTTCGTAAAAGTCTAAAATTGACTACGTTTTTTTATGTTTTATTTTAAATTTTATTTCAGAGTGTAAAATAATTTAAATAATTTTTGGGCCATTTTATTATATCGGATAGAAATATTCCGTAAAGTTTGTTAATGTGAATTTTAGAAATGCTACGAATTACAAATTGTATTGGATTAAAGTCTCGAAATTTTATCAAAGTCGTTAACTCGAACACTAGGTAAATTGTTTTTTTTATTAAATATATATTTGCAATATATTGCAACAATTTTTTTTGTCTCGTCAAAGATATGTGTCATACAATAGTCATCTATCAAGAAATTCCTGCAGACTACTTTATTTTATTTACACATTCTATATAATAAAATTCTAATACATTTTTAATAAGCAAAAATTATTTTTTTATATATTAACTAAACTATTGTTTAGTTATTAAACTCGAATTTAATAATTGTAATTTTAAATATTTATTTTTGTATTAATTGGACTTTGGACTTTGTCAGATAATTAATTGGACTTTGACAGATTATTGATTTAATAAGTTAATCCTTAGATAAGGTATGCTATTGAAAATAATAGCCACTGGTATAGTTTAATGAATAATAAACAGATGCACAAATTTTACGAAATTATAATGTATTTATAAATAATGTTTTAAAAAATGCAATAAAAATTGTTGATAGAATACATATGAACAAATATGAATAATCTATGAATTAATTTGTAGTACAAATGTTAGAAATAAATATAAAAAAATAATACGACTCAACACGATCGAATTCGGGTAATATGTAATATTATCTATACTTATGAACTGTGTTGTTTGTGTATGCATAAGTGTATGACAGTCGTATTTTCCTGAATTCTATGTGGTAGTCAGTGTATTATACTTTATTAAATATAATTTGAATAATAAATTATTAAATATACCCATTCATATAATATGATGTTTTTTAGATATTTAGCAACACAAGCTGCTGTAAAAAATGTATCTGAAGAAAAAGAGAAAAAAGATGTAGCTGAGTCAAAGTCTCAGTCTTTTGTTAGGAATATTTTCCTTGGTCAATTAGAGACTAGTCAAATATTTCCATATCCAGATGTTTTAAATGAAGAACAATATGACACATTAAAATTATTTATTGATCCAGTGGAAAAATTTTTTGAGGTAGCGAAGTTCTGACAAAAACTTCATGAATCCTTCAAATTTTCTGTAACAGATTTATCAATTTAGTTTAAATTTTTATTTGTCTTCTTTTCTTTAGAAAGTAAATGATCCAATGAAAAATGATGAAAATGCATCAATAGATGAAAAAACTTCGCAAGCAATGTGGGAGCTTGGCGCATTTTGTCTCCAAGTTCCTCAAAAATATGGTGGAATGGGACTAACTAATACCCAATATAGTAGGTGTGTTGAAATATGTGGATACCATGATTTAGGTATTAGTATCATTTTAGGTGCACATCAAAGTATAGGATTCAAGGTGAATTTTTACGTATTTATTTATTTATTTATTTCATGTAAAATCAATGATCTAAACAATTTAATTCCTATAGGGCATACTTTTGTATGGTACTCCAGAACAAAAAGAGAAATATCTTCCAAGAGTATGCAATGGAGAATATGCAGCATTTTGTCTTACAGAGCCAAGCTGTGGTTCAGATGCTGGTTCAGTTCGTTCTCGTGCAATAAAGTCAGCAGATGGTTCGCATTATATCTTAAATGGCAATAAAATTTGGATATCAAATGGTGGTCTAGCAGAAATAATGACAGTTTTTGCTCAAGTTCCTATGAAAGATCCAAAAACTGGTGAAACTAAGGATAAAGTTACAGCATTTATTGTTGAAAGATCTTTTGGTGGAGTAACAAGTGGTCCACCAGAAAAAAAGATGGGTATTAAATGTAGTAATACAGCAGAGATATATTTTGAAAATGTTAAAATACCAGCAGAAAATGTTATAAAAAGCGAAGGACAAGGTTTTTCGGTATTAATTGATTTTGATAAAAAAATTTTTAAATGTTGTAAAAAAATATTTAATAAAAATTTCAAACATATTCTATTAGGTTGCAATGAATGTTTTAAATAGTGGTCGATTTGGTATGGCCAGTGCACTTTCCGGGACAATGCGTTATTGTATTAAAAAAGCAGTTGAACATGCAACACAACGAGTACAATTTGGGCGCACAATAGATTATTACGGAAGTATTCAGGAAAAATTAGGTCGTATGGCAATGTTGCATTATGTAACTGAAAGTCTTGCATATTTAATCGCGGGTAATATGGATAGTGGAAGTCAGGATTATTATTTAGAAGCTGCAGTTTCTAAAGTAAAATTTATTAAAAAATGTAAAGTTTAATAATTTGTTTATTTTATTATTTCAAAACAACCATTTTAGTGTTTTGCATCGGAATCCGCATGGTGGGTTTGTGACGAAGCTATTCAAATACTTGGTGGAATGGGATATATGAAAGATACTGGTCTTGAACGAGTCATGCGAGATATACGCATTTTTAGAATCTTTGAAGGAACCAATGATATTCTCCGTATTTTTGTTGTACTCTCTGGGCTTCAACATGCTGGCATTCATTTGAAACAAATAATGTCAGCATTTAAAATCCCTACTATCAATTTAGGATTGATTTTTGAAGAATTGAGTAAAAGAGCGATGCGAACAATTGGATTGTCCTCAACGCGTAATCTTACACACTTAGTTCATCCTAATTTAAACAAAAGTGCTGCATTATGTGCTAAGGTTTATATCAGTTATTATAGCACTAACACAAATATAAATATTAAATATTAATATTTAATTTGTATTGAATGATAAATAATTGTTTATAGAGTATAGAAACTTTTGGTCAAAGTATAGAAGGTGCCATTATCAAATATGGACCACGCAATATTGTAGAGCAACAATTTGTTCTCAATAGATTAGCTCAAGCGGCGTTTGATATATTTACTATGACAACTGTATTAAGTAGAGCAACTGCATCTGCAAATAAAAAACTTCCAAGTGTGGAACATGAATTTCTTATGGCAGAAACTTGGTGTTCTGAAGTAAGTCTATAATTGTATATTTGTATTCTTAATATTCATATAGTTTTACATTTATATTCATAATAATCATTATGTTATAGGCATCCAATCGTGTGAATTTTAACTTGAAATTTGATAAACAATTAAATATATTTAGTAACTTAAGCAAAATTTCAAAAAATATATGTGAAGCTGGTGGATGTGTTCAATTAAACCCACTAGGTTTTTAATAATGTGGTCAATTGTAAAATAATTAATATAATATAAAATTATTGAAAATTTTTTGATACTTTTACATAAAAGAGATAAATAAATTATTATAAAAATATACACATGAAAGTAGATGCTGTTTATTTTTCATTAAATTTCACAAAATAGCGAATTGAATGCTTAAGAAATAGATGTACAGTAAGTTTGTGTGTGTAGCTTTTTTATAATAAATTAAAAGTAAGTAAAATTTTCCTGTAGCATACATTTAAAAATGTTTAATAACATTACTTCTATTTACGTTTTCATTTAATACGATATTAAATATAAGAAAAAAAAAATACCACAGTATTTATTTTAATTTATAATTAATATTAACTCTTGATTATCTTCTTTTAATTATAATATAAATGCACAATTTAACAATATCACAACATTACACAAAGGTAAGAATATACTTTCTGATCATTTTTTTACTTGTCTATAATATGGAAGCACATAGAATATAGCCATTGTACGATTTAACTTTTACAGCATCCATATAAGACATTAATAACATTAATTGTGAAGTACATGCAAAAACAGAATTGTGTATTTCATTACTATAAGAAGTATTACTTAAGTTTGAGATTCAAATTATCAATTTTTTTCTTTTGAATTTATAAAATAAAATTTATTATTAATTGTATATTCAACATTTTTGATTATGTATAAATCAAGAAAGAAATAATATTTAATATTTGCTCTTTCACGTCTGAAATTTTATAGTTTTTTACAATTTGGTAATAAATATATTGTATTACAGGATTTTTCAACTATACATTGGCAGTGTTTTTTTCCAATTAATAATAATTAGCAATAAATAAATTTGATTCTCAAACTTCAAGTTATTTAAAATATTTATAAGAAATATCATTTAAACGTAAATAAGATGGCATGAAACTATTATGATGAGATGTGATTTTATTATTGAATGTTTAAAACATGAAGTTGGAAAGAATTTATCATTGCTGACAGATACAACTGTGATTCAACTTTTCAGAAAAATAGAATATTAGATTATTTCTTAGTATTTGTGTTACTCCAGGTATGCAATCTTATTTTTAAAAACATATGAATTCTATAACACGAACTCACAATCTGTTAATATATGTATTTGTGTGTTTTTCCTATGTACTATACCTTGTGGTCTAATAAGCCTTTATAAGAATATTAGTAAATATATTATCACGAATAAAAAGAAGCATGGTTAAAGTCAAATAAAAATCAATATATTAGAAACGATTTTATGATTAATATAACAATTTTTTAATACCATTTTCATCTGATAAATTCTCCACTCTTTCACATTACTTTTAGTTTTTATATCACAACCCTGATGTTCCTTTATAAGAAAATAACACTGCTCATATTTTACTAAGTTGTCGACAATTTAATGAGTCAACTTGAATTCATTGGAATGAAACTGACTCAAATATTGTCCAATTAATGTATCAATAATTTATTTCCTGAGAAATTTTTGTATGACTTTATGACCAGTCTATCTATCATGTTTTTACGAAAATAATAACAATGGAAATACAATTTTTTGTATACATTTTTTAATACATGGAAACGTGTTATATCTTAATAGTCTAAGTGATAATATTTTATAAATGTGAATAGCAACTGTATTTTAATTAATTCTCTCTGTACATGTAAATAATCGTTTAAATTAGGACATTTGTAAAACGGTATACTCAAAAACATGTGCTGTTCTATTATTTTATGTTTGAGTAAAATCTCTCATTTTCGTTGCATATTGTTACTTTACGTAAATTACCTTCTTATGAAACTGCATATATAGTGAACTAATAATTTCAAATACTATTTGCAAATATGACTTTTTAGTAGAAAATTTATGAATTTAATTAGAGATTTAATAAGAGATTTCAAATATAAAATAGTAAATGATAGGGAAATAATGTTTGTTAATAATTGAAATTAAATTTGTAAATAATTAAAATTACCTCTAATTAAAAAAACTAATTTTATAAATACACAGAATCCATAGAAATTAAATAAATGTTACATGATTGAAAATTACATTTTTAATGCTATCTTATATTTAGCTGCTCAAAAAAATATGAAGATTTTAAACTTTCATTAATACCACTTTAATATTATATTCATGATATTTATAACATATAAATCACAATGAAAATCTGTTTTAAATTTAACATGATAAATTAATTACTTTATAAGTGATCAGTTTTATGTAATTTTATAACTTGTTTTTTCTAATACTTTGAATTTTATAATACTTTAAAAATATACGAAAAAGATATCTACATAATGGAAAAAATATATTGTTATAAATCAAGATATGTATTAATCTATACTAAAAATTTAAGATCAAAACTTACTAACTTCATTAAAAACAATGATCTTTTATCATTAGGTACCACATATGTACTTACAAGCTTATAGATTTTTAATGACATAGTATCATTACCTGGAGTAACTTATAAGAGTTAGAAAAGCTAACCCTGTGCTATAGACAAATTTTTAAATGTTTGTCCATTCCAAGCAACCGAAATACAGTAATGTTGCAATAACTGAATTAAAAGTTCTCGCTCATCCAACATTTCTATATGTTCGATTCGACTACGATCATCTTGAGGCAGTGAATCATAGACTTCTACCATTGTCCATGCATTAGAGCCTTCCCAACTGTTTATTGTAAAGCTGAAATATACAATTTAGATTACATTTTTAATAAAACAATTATAATAAGACATATTCAGGATAATGCACAAATAGTACAAAATTAAAATACCGTCTTTGTTGAGTTTCCAAAGATTCACAATCTTCTACACCTGCCAACAAACATCCACGACTACGTAAATTGGACAACATAACTTGACCAAATTTATCCTTCATGTTCACTTGCTCATAGTTAACAAAAATACTATTTGGAAATTTTCCAGCAAGCCATTTTAATAATGCAGAAGCTGCACTAGTGTCTATATATACTAAGACACATTCTGCAAGGAACATGGTTGGAAGATTAAAATTAACTTCTGCTTGTGTTAATTTGTTAGTAAGTTCAGATATATGCCGTAGATCTATTCCCACCAAGTGATAATTGGCAGCATGTAGATCTGTTGTTGAAAACCTAATTTCTCCATCTGCATAAATAAATTTTTACTATTAACAGGATTCATGCATAAAAAAAAAAAAAAAAATAAAGCTTAATACTTTACCTTCAGTATTTAACGTATCTATCAACTGTTTGTGTTTTTTAATGTGATAACATTTTCGAGCAGTAATACTAGGAAAATCAAGTTCTATAAAATTTGCCGGGCACTTTCCCGCTTCTTTAAGTCGCCAATAGAGTGTATCAAATCCAGCACCCAAGTTTATAATTTGTCCTTTTTCACCTGATAGCTATATTTGTTACAAAATTAATTTTATCAGTATATTGTAGGTATTTAGATGCATTCATATATATTTTCTAATTCACTTTTATTTATAAAATAAAAAATTTAAATGTATTCATCTTGTTCTAAATTTAATAATTCACATTCTTCAATCCACATGAATTAAAAATTACAAACAATAATAAATGATTGTAATCATGTATTCTACTTCATGTATTATTAAAATCTATATATTTTTTTATGATTTTAATTAATTACCATAATTAAAAGAGAAAAACAATGGTCGAAAAATTGTCCAATAATTAAAAACGTATTTGTTATTTTTACGAAAAAAGATTTATTGTCTACATGAGGTTAACCTATTTCACTATTTCACGACAAAAAGAGGAGTTAAGAAATTAGGACAGGGCCTCGGCCAGGTCAAGGTTTCCGGCATTGCACGTCCTTAGCTACTTAAATCAGCTGTATCCCGGATTGTTTCTATTATGTTCTAGGTTATGCCAATTTTGAAGTTGCAATAACAAAACTCAGAGAAATCAAAATCAGTACGTACCTTAAGGAATTTATCAACAAACACTTCGATTCCCTTCACCCTTGCATAGTAACCACGATTGATTTCTGGCGCTTTTCGTCCAGTTTGTTTTACGAAAAAGTTGATAAATGGATCGGACCAGTAACCAAGTTGAACCGCATATCTTTTACACTCACTTGCATCGTCATTTGTGGCCTGTATGGCCTCATCATCAGCCATATCTTTGATCATTACACCAATTTCGGTTCACTTCAGTTATGATAAATCATTATTCGAAGTTTTCTTTACGTGAAAACCGTTACTTATCACTCATGAAAAACTGTACAAGCGACCATACTGCTTAAGACTGTGTAGTGACTGCTGTAGACTCGCATCTACTTGCGGCGCAAGCTTGCGCCTGCTGTGCGATGCGGGTTATCTGACAGTAGGGGTATCCCCTAACCATCACTTTATACCTTAATATGTATCATACACATGGACACAAGCATTAATGCATCTCATTACAATTCCTTACTATTAATAAGGTATTTTATTTGGAATTTTTACTAATGTTATAAATCAAGTTGATCAATAAAACGCCTCGTAACTATGGGAGACTTTTGAAAATATGAGAAATGTTTTATGTAAAAAAGATCAATAATTATAACTTAATACGAATTTGTAAATTATGGAAATAAGTCTCTCTTCTCTATTTTTCAACGGATGTTAGTGGATGTTAAATATGTATAGTTTCAACATTTTGCACAGTTATTTATTTATTGTAAATATTAAATAAATACACTAAAGGATAAATTTGATATAAGAAAACATGTAGGTACATAAATTTGATTGTTAAATTAGTAATTGTTAAATTGTTTATAAATTAAAGTGAATTATTTATAACTGGGAAATAAATAAGACTGTATGTCTTGATCTTAACAAATATATTCAAACACAGTGTCTGACATTTTTTGTCTTTAATTAGAAATTCATATAATGATAGTACGATTGCATACTATATACCTTTTTGTATATATGTGTAAGTATACAAAAATACAAATTGATACATATAAAATGTATAAATGTATAAATGTATAATTAATTTTTATAATATTTCTTGACCAATAGTTCTACAAAATGTAAAAGATATTCTTTTGTATTTTTGCAAAAGCAATATATACTTTGTATTTAAGACATTCTTTTATATTTTTGCAAAAGTAATATATACTTTAAAAATAATCAATCACAGCTACTCATATATATGTTACTAAATAGATTGAAGCTAATAAATGAGTAAGAAATTAGTTAAAACATATTGAAATAATATATATATATATATATTATTTCTGTAATTAACAATTACAGAAAATTATAGTATCATTAAATAGTATTAATTTCATTCCAATATATGTAAACAAGTAGATAGAGATATAATATAAAAAAATTTTATTTAGTACTAACACATGGTTAAAAAAGACATGTAATGAAATATATATATAAATTATGAAGTAAATATATTGGAATATAACGTTATCTAACAAAATTCCAATATTTAAAAAAACAGCAAAGCTATGGGTGATACAGTTGAAAATGTATTAAAAGTATAAAAAATTAGAAAAGACTAGCGAGTATCACCTTCCATTCTTTTCGCAGTTTGTAGTTTTTAAACTTTCAGTATTTAAATAATTATTGTCAGCTTCTTGATATAATTATTGCTCTATATCAGATTTTTTAATAGTTGGTTTTGCAGCTGCTGTTTTTGTTTTTCTTTTAGGTGGAACTGGTGCATCAGAAGTACTAGATGATGGAGTTTCAGGGACAGTAGTATCACTAACGCCTATTTGAGATGATTTTACACCTTTTTTAACAACTTTTATATTTTTTTTTTGTTTACTAGAAGAACTACTGTCTACTGCACTATCATCTGGTCCTTCTTCTGATTTTGTTTTCGTTTTCTTTGTAACTTTTTTTACTGTCTTTCTTCCTACTTTCTTTTCAACACCATCACCATCTGTTGTTTCCATAGCTTCTACTTCTGATATTGACTTTTCCGTCAATTTTTTTCCAGTCTTTTTTATTACTTTCTCTTGATCTATTAAATCTGACTGTGCATTTATTTGGATACTTGTCGAAGGTGCATTTAACTCTTTTGTTCTTGAAGGTCTAATTGGAGCTTTGTCTAATAGTAATGATTCAGTTACTTTATGTTCTGATGAAATTTTAATTGATTCTACTATTTCGTTTGTGCCAGATTCGCCTTTTTTATCTTGTTGTTCTAATTCTACTGTTTGTTCCTGTATTGATTTCTCTGGTATACATAAATTTTTGGAAGATAATCCAACTGTGTCATTAAGTTGAACTTGTATTGGTAACAAATTCTGTGAAGCTTCTTCTGATTGACCTAATTTATTGGCATCGATACTCATTACAGTTGAGGAATTATTCAAATTTGATTTTTCTTTATTTTGTGCAAAATTAATTGAAGATGTCGAACCATTTATATGTAACTTATTTTTTATTTCTGTTAAGTGAACAGGTGTAATTGTAGAAGAAAGAATTTCTTGTGGCATTATTTGAGAATCTGGCATAGATTCTTTTGGTTCCACTTGTAGTACAGATTCTGCAACTTGAATAGGAACAGGACTAACTGTTAGAATTTCAGAAGCAGTTAAGAGTTCTTTTGCATGTTTTTCATCTCTAATATTTGGTTGTTTCGTTTCTTCAATATCTACTGTGATTTTAAGATCTCTTACATCCTGTAACTTGTTTTCTAGTTTTTTTGATGAGGTAATTGCATTTTGTTCTTCAATTGAAGATGATTGAACTGGATTAGATGATTTTATAAGCAGATTTATTTGTTCCGAGGCTTCTTTTAATAATGAATTTGAACTGAATTCTGCAACATCTTTATGAGATATTTGTATTGGGAGCTTTGTATCAAGTGTTTCAATTCCTGATTTTGTTGAAAATATGTGGGTATCATCTTCATTCTTTTGATCTCCTGATAATGTAGGTACGTTTGTTATAGGAACATTGTTAACTAGAGATTGTTCTTCAGTATGACTGATAGTTGTCTGAGCTAAATAAGAAAAAATAATTATGTTATATTTGCATATATATATATATATATATAACAAATTATAGGAATGCAATTAAATACATTTTTTATTTAATAATTCTTATATTTAAATTTACTACTTTTAAACATATATTTAATAAAAATGAATTCTATATAAATATAAAAATAATATGCAATAAAATATTAAGCAATAAAATTTATAAAATAAAAATATGTACAAATAATACTTTAGTCTAAAATTGTTTTTTTAATATATATGCAAAATATATCCAAATAAAGCTTTAATTTTAGTAGGATATAATGATTGTGATTGAAATTCATTGCAAAAGTGCTCTTATGAAATGCTGTTTAGTGTAATATAGATGGAATATGAATATTTCAGGTTAATTAATGCACATTAAACATAGAATTAGTATTAGTAAATTAAAAAATGGTACAAAGATATCATGCATATAGTGATTGCTATTTAATTTTTTGGTGCAGTGTTAAATTTGTATCAAGCATTCAATGTTTAAGATGTTTTTGATGTTTAAACACATAAATAAGCTACATAAATATACATTACATAAGCGTTTTTTTTATAAATTATTCTGAAGAAGTTAAAATAATTTAACAATACAAGTATGTTGATGAATTCTATATAAATGACGAAATTCTATATAAATGATGAAAGTAACATTAATATTAAGGTATACTATATTTTTTTGATTTGTAAATTAGGAATCAAAATGACATGTAATATTAAAACACTATAAATGATATGATTTATTATAATATAACTTACTATAAAATGATATAATTTTAATAATGTAAGTATATACCATGTGCTGGTTTAGTTATATATCACAAACTTTTTTAATTTACTTAAAAATCGCGAATTGATGATGCGAATTCTTAAAATATTTACCCCATTAAAGCAAAACGACATTACAAGACGTAGCAATGCTATGGCGCCAGGATCTGTTAGTTGCTGTCCTCCGTTCCTGTTTCAAACACTTAAACTTGATAAACTGTATAAAAAACATATATTTTTCACTTGTTTAAATTATATCAAAATTTTCTGGTATTTTATTGAATACAATTTGACATTTTGTTCAAATTAAATTCCTATAAAATTAAAATTTTACTTCCAAATATGAGTTTGAATGGCACATGCTGTATTAAAAAAGGGAGGAAAATAAAATCGCAAAGCATTTTTATAAATACAGTTAATGGCTTTGCATTATGAGCACTTCAATTTTCGATTTCGTACACAGTTTACATTATTATTAAAAATTTTTATTATGTAAAATTAAATTTTATATTTTTTTTTATTCAATACTAGCTATATAACAACAAATGTTATTTATATATATATAGCTTAAAAATCTTGCTTCTTTGTTTCATCTATAGTTGAATAATTTTTATAATCATAATATATTTATAAAAAATGATTTCATGCATACTGTGTAATACATACCAATTCCTTTATCGACCTCATCTACAGAATCAGTAGATTGAATAACTTCAATAGATTTAACAGATTCATCAGTCTTGTCGGTTGTTTTTAGCGTCAATTCCTTTTCTGTTTCCTATAAATCATGATATAAATTTATATACAAATGTTATTATTAATTATTTATTATGTACTTAAGTAATTACTTTAGGAGGAGACGGTAACCGTGGAGGTGCAAGAGCAAGTGTTTCACAAATTTTTTTCCAAATATTGTCAAAACTATCACGACCCATATAGTCTATCTGACCTTGTTCCCAACTTTGTTTTCGCATATGCTCCTCTAGTGCAATTTGTTGAGCGCTTCTAGGTTCACCTAACGTCATTTGAGCCAAGGCACCAGCTAGACCAGCCTGTGGAATCAGAAAAAGTCTTCTTAATTTAATAATTGAAAAAATTTCTGAAAAAAAATTTCCCATAACCTGAAATACTGAATTGAATAAATCACATAAAAAATTTTAGTTAT